TTTTTGCAGGCTGGCTGGTGAGTGTGCTTGGAAATTGTTTTGTCTTTGTTCTGTGTAAAGCCTTTCCATGTGCATCTGGCTTCAAAGCTAGTTATGTGTGTTTGCCATTTGTTGCACTTGTGTGTTTGTGGAGACACAACAACTTACTAGCACACACAACGGTGGCTCCATAGGGCCCTGCAAGGGGAAGGAGCCACCCTAAAACAAGTCATTATGGCCAGTGCTCACGGGACCAGGTGATTCTACAGGAAGATAAAACTTTTAAACATCAAAGAGCAGCATTCATTGTAGGTGATTTCATCAGCATTTCAAATAGCTTAAAAACCCTTTGACTTTAATATCACTTTAATTTATATTGTATACAACACACAAAACCAATGTATTAATAAGGAAGCAGGGTAAAGGGAAGTAGTCGAGTCTGATGCAGAAGGCAGAGATGGATTGAAACTAGTGGCTGATTAAGGGTGTCACATGACCCTCTCTAGACAAATGAGGCTAAAGGCTGGAGAGGGTAGAAGGTGGAGGTCCATAGAGAGCATCCTGCTTCGAGCAATAGATTTTGGCTTTAATGTTCAACTTTGTAAACATGTAGCATGGTTATGGAGAAAATAGGAGGAGTCTGCACAGGATGATCATTCATGTTTGCCTAGGGCAACAAGAGCATTAAATGCCAGAGTTTCTACATACCAGGATCAGTTCATTTACAATCCATGTTTGACAATAAACAATTCAAGTGAGAGAAGTAACACTTTACAGTAGATACCCAGAAAAATGGGTAAGAACAGGCTGATACGTCAAAGAGTAAAGCAAAGAAAGTGTGAAAATTACTGCTTATTCTACGATCGCCTGGACAGGTATGTTGGTACCTCTAGAAAAGAGTATGTAGCGCTCACCCCTGAAGGAGCTGCCAGAATAACCAAAGGTCACCCATAGCCTGCCTAGGGATATTAGTAACCAGCTGCCCCATTAGCATTAACCGCCCTCTTCTAGTGACCCACAGAGCTGAGTTCTAGGCAAAGTAGCTCATGCTAAAGAACTTTATTAAGATTCTTGAACTGGGAGAGAGGGTTTAGGGAATCCTAGACATCCAGGGAAACAGGTATAGACTCCAGACTCACAGTCCCTTGTAGTATTCCAGTGCAGATCCAATAAGAGCACATGCTGACACTGGGTAGAAAAGCACAGTTGAATAGGGACTGGCACAAAATCTTCAGTGGGAGAGACATCAGACTTGCTCCTGAGGTCCTCTCTGTTACAGGCACCTCCAGCAGCTTTAAACCTCCCTGGTTTTTCTCCTCCAACAATAGTAGAAGCCTCCTCCAGACTTGAGGCCTAACGAAACACTTCCCGCACTCAAGTGTTTCCACCCCCATTACTAGCCCGGGGGCAGGCTGGACAGCACCCCAACCTGTACTAATCCATGGCTGGAAACAGACTTAGCACATGGAATTTCCGTGGAGTATATATGCCCTGTACCAGCATGCAACACTGGCACTGAGAGGCCTAGTGATTGACTGATGGACTTCACACACACTCACAGTGTCCCTCATTGGCTGCCACAAACTGCAGCAGAGTCACACTCCACTCAGGCAGATACAATCAATGCCAGAACACCTGGAATTAACCAGATAAATGCCAACTATAATTCAACCAGACTGATTACGTTTCTAGTAGCCACCTCACAAAAAGGTGATGGGGGCTAGAATTATAAATCATTAGATCATGGTCATAGCAGGAATTTACTGGAAATGACCTGGCAATACCAGATTTTGGATCCAGTTCCTGAATGGTAAAAAACAAAACAGACCTAAAACAACTGTTAAAATAATTTGTCTCTACCTAAAAAGTGACCTTAGAGTGTAAATAAATAACTACATTAGGGAAACAAAGTTCTAACCTCCCCTGTGGGCAATATAGTGCCCATGTATGTAGATGTTGACAGACAAAATGGTGTATTGGGAATGGTTAAAACATAAAGGGACGATACAAGTAAAGGGAACCTGTATATGTTAGCCATAACAACTAGGTGTTTGTTTGGCTCTGTAAGCTGTAGTAGGCAAAAAGACGGCTGGAATATGACTGTATACTATGGGCAAGACCTGCAAACTTGTTTCCTTCAGTTTCTGCAAGCGAGGCTCTAGATCATTTGACTGAAATTGCTCATCTGTACTTCTAGTCTTAGTTTTGAAAACAAAACAGTTGGTTACATAAGAACAATCACTAGGTGTGTTCTGCAGCAATTAGGTTACGCATACTATTGTCGGTTTGCAGTCATAACACACATTCACCAAGTGCACACAGGTACAGATTGGGAAAAAAGGTTATTGTGTAGCCGTTGCTCTGGAACATCGGGTACTGCTAACCAACTTGCTTTTCTCTGTTCATAGAACAAGCTAACTATACACGCAACATGAATATGAAATGACCATAGACTGTGGAAGAAGTGCAAGTTGAGGGAAGAACATGCACACACAGGAGGATGGATCAAGAAACGAGAGGTCCCTTGTATGATGCCAAAATCTTGTGTGCAGCAGACTTATGCAGTTGAGGCTTCATCGCTCTCTGGAAGAGTAGTGTCATCTAATGCATAGCTGTGGATCTGGCAAAAAGTCAGTTAGGTACATTTATAAAACAGACCAGTCAGTCTTTTATGGAGCCAATATTTTGTTGAGTAGGTCTCCACAACTGACCAGTTCCAGGTCTTGTACATCTTCCTTTATATAAAACCGGCCTAGCAACATCAGTTATTACAGATGGGACCCATGCGGCCTTCTGGCATGCACAGGATCATATAAATCAAATTATTACAGGGTGTTTCACAAAAGGGTGAAGAGTTTGGAGAAGGCCGGAGAAGTGAACACTCTAGGACAACATAGCTGAACTGGAAAGTGAGCTGAATTGGAGAATTTTTCCAAAATCAGCTATGTTGTCCTAGATTGTTCACTTCTCCTGCCAAACTCTTCACCCTTTTGTGAATAGACCTGTTAAAATTCTGGAGGATAAAACTGAATCTTGGGTATGTTGTTGTTTCTTCTCTAAATAACCAGTCAGTTCTGGTTTAAGACAGTTGTGATACATATTATGATGGCACCCCCATGATCACTGCTCATGCCTGTTGTCTGCCATGAAGTAATATGACAAGCCAAAAAGGAACATGCACGCCTCATCAGCAAGTCCCTGTTGGTCATCTTGTTGCATTTTTAACCGTCTTTATGGCTGCATGAAAGTTTTTAATTTGGCAGAACTAAAAGCAACTCTACTGTCAGATGCATAACAATTATACCATGGGGTCAATTCACAAAGCTTATTTTCTTCATTTCGGCCGTTATTTCATTGATATCGCTTGTTATATAGTTGAGTGTTGCAAATAGCTATCCAAGTGCTACAATGGTCACAGTAGATGCCAGATGATACAATGGTTACCTCTAGCCATTTTTAGTCCACCACTGAGGTAGCTGAAGTCCTTTATTTGGACTGGGCCAATAAATTGTATGAAGTCTATACTCTTGCTCCTTTGTAACATCTTAAGTAAAATGTGTGCTCATAGGGAGGGGGGGTTTATAGAACTCCGGCAGTCCTGACAAAGGTGTATCATTTCCTCTATACCAGCATTAATTCATTGCAAGCTATGCTTGCAATAGTTGAGCTGCATGTAGCAGTCCTTGACATAACAAAAGATTGATCGGAATCTGAATTTCTACTGGCAATAGTCTCCTGAATTCTAGTGGTGAATCACAAAGCAATTCCAACATTAAAACGTTTAAAAGGATGTGACCCTCCAATGAAGGTGACATGACAATCAGTGTTTAAATGTGTCTTGATAGTAATCCCAAAAGTTGCATGTGAATTTATGTATCTCCAATGGGTGTCCATAACCTATACCGCGAGGGCCAAACCACAACACTTTTGCATTGCAGTACTTAGCATGTGACCGAGACCTATTTGCTTTGCCAGTGCAAATGTTTGGTCAAGCTCTGCAGGAAGTCAGCACTGAACAGTGCACAAAGAGCGCACATATCTTTTAGGTTTTATCCGTGCTGGCAATGTTCTTCTACACACATTCATACTGCAATATAAGTACATCTTAACTTGATCACTTTTTTTGCTACTTCTGTGGAACTGAAACCCCTATAATAAAGTGTTTTGAGGGGCATGAGCTTCTATCATCTATGTGCCAGTAACGCCTCGTAAATCTTTGATTTGGAATTTGCTGGAATCGTTAGAAAGCATATAATTGCAAAGCGTTTTAAACCCACAGACTGTCAACAACACTTCCCTTGTCCATTAATAGTTGTCTGTTGAATTTTGTTTGCTTGTAAAAAAGACTTTCTGAATACCAGTCCCATTTTGTATTTTCTCTGTGTTTCATGTCTGAACATCTCCCATTCTGCTTCTCTGTTATCAGAAGAATCCTATTCTCACCACCACAGAAGCGTAAACCAGCTGGCTTTATTGTGCTCATAGTAAAGCTAGTAAAGTAAAGCCAGAAGAAGATGTGAAAGAACAAATAGGGCAGAGAAATGCATATTCATAAATAAGACTCAGAAACCAGAGTTCCCTCTTCTGGTACACAACATCAATTGCAACTAATAACATTACATTAGTGGTATGCATGCAGAGAACCTAAATATCAAGCTACAGGTTGCTGGTGGACACTTCTCATGGGTTTTATTATAGTCTAGGACAGCCTTTCTCAACCAGTGTGCCATTGCACCCTGGTGTGGCTTCTAGCTTCCTCAGGGGTGCCTCAAAATGTTGTGGTAGTGGGACTGTGTTTGTGATGTGAAGGTGGAAGATTGAGGTGAAGGGGGAACTCTGAAGAGAAGGGGGGGCTGTGATATTAGGGGCATCCGGTGTGAAAGGGGGGCTCCTGAAGCAAATGGAGTCATCCTGGATAACAAACCCACATTTTTGTGTGTTTTTGCATGGGGTCCCCCTTAAAATATCATTTTAGACTGGTGTGCCTTGGGATTTTGCATACTTTGAAAGGGTAATGTGACTGAAAAAACGTTGGGAAACACTGGTTCAGGAAAGCATTCCAATCTCTAGAGGCATGTTGTATTGTGCACATACCTGTGTTACAAGTCACTGCAATGTAATGTTGTGCCCACAGTTTTTTTGTTTTTACAGGAGATACTTATGAAGGTTATTTGCATTAAAAAAAAACAAATAAATATGTATATATATGAAGAACAGCAAAGTTACTTTCTGACTAATATTTCACAACTGTGGTACTCACCTACAGTTATTTGGAAGGGCTCATCTGTTGGTGACTGTGGTTCCTCGTCTATAATTGATTCATTATGATCAGGAGAACTGTTCCTCTTCTTTATATGAGCCACAACAAAGAAACACAACCCAATCAAGACAATTAAAGGTCCCATTATTTGCAGAGAAAGAAATCCACAGTTCCTATAGGTTGTTTCTGTCCCAGTACCATTTTGGCTTGGGGGACCAGCACCACATCCAGGTAACCAAACACCCAGAATGCTAATCAGTATTCCACATGTGACAAATAAAAAGCCAAATATTAAAAACTGAACAAACTGGCGGCTTTCACCACAGAGAAAGAAGCTGTCTGGGTCAGTCTGATCGCCTTCTGACTGTCTTCTTCTGGCCTCAAGCCTGGCTCTAGATCTTGCCAGCACCACGGAAGCCAGTCCTATCACTGCAAGGGCAGGCCCCAATACCTTGAAAGTCATGCTGCAATTGACGAGATTATCCGACTGGCAGGACTGAAATCCAAAGATGGAGAGGAGGAAACCGGCGCAGAAGAGCATCACTCCAAATACAAACATGAAGAATATAAACCTGGAGGTCCGTCCGGCATTGTTGGAGCCAAATGGGAAGGAGAAGAAAGGCTGCATTTTTATGGAGAGTTTGTCCAATCTGCTCCGAACAGTGAAATATTACCTGTTAGGAAAAATGAATGCTTTTATTAGACAAAGAAAGTAGATAATCTTTTCATATGCACTTTGCCTTGGGGCAGATATTTACTATACAGTTTTCTCTACTATGACCAGTCTGAGCATCACTCAGGAATATTGTGCACTTGAAACGCTAACAATAAAAAGTTTTGTTTTTTTCAAGCAGATCAATAAATTGCATGCAAAGAAAAAGATTCACCTGATTGATAGATTTACACTGAGTGGCCAGATTATTATGACCACCCCATCAGTACTTCGTTGGGCCACGAGATGACTTCGTTGGGCCGCCTCGTGACTCCATGAGATGTTGAAAGGTGATGCGAGGAATGATGCAAGGAATGATGCAAGGAATCTGACACTGCACTGTTGCCCTTCTGTTGTCTTGTACCAGTCTTGCCACTCTCCGTTCTGCCCTAACATTGACTAGTCGCTGACGGCCACAATTCGCACGTTCAGACCCAGATTTTCGGCTGACAGTCCAGTCTTTAAACACTTTAACAGCTGCTCTTGAACATTCAATGAATTCTGCTGTTTTGCTGATACTCGCTCCATGGCTCCGAGCGCCAATAATCATCCCACGTTCAAAGGCTGTTAAATCGCGTTGTTTACCCATATCTTCAGAAACAAAATCACTTCTACTGTCGTGGTAAACAACCTGCTTCCCTATTTATAATGGTCTGGCCCTCTAGCAACTTCAGCGCGAAATTATAGCTAATTTGCCTACAAACGTCAGGTGGTCATAATAATCTGGCCACTCAGTGTATATGTCCAACCTTATGTTTTCTGGGAGCACAACATATTTCTGAAATGATCAACCTACTCATAGGTACAACTGCATACTGCCATTACTGTCCCTTCCATCTGAAAATGATAGTTGGATGGGTGTCATGATTACTTTCAGCCTTCAATTATTTTAATGTCTTTATGACTTTCCAGATCTGCAAACTTGTTCCAGACCAGTGACAAAGTATTCAAGCTGATGAATCAGCATAACAGCCAGCAACTGCCATTTTTACAAGATGCCATCAATGACTGCCCTCCATATTTCTCTCATGAGATATTTACTTTAAGCCACTACAAAGCAGAGGACCTAGAAGATTTCTGTAAAGAACTGCAGCAGGACTTGCTTCCAGGTATAAAATATATACTTACATTGGGCCAAGCTGGACAGCAAACAAAAAAAAAAAGCAAACTAGTTGCAGATAAACTTTCCTTTCCAAACCTGGATGAAGCTGCTAGAGACCGGAAAGCATGGAAATTACAAATCAAACAATTGAAGTAACAATTGGCAACAACATTTTTAGCTCAATCTTTTTTACCCAGCCAAATAAGTTCAGAGAGACGATTACCTCTTGTAGTCAGAAGAGACTTTACCCATTTAAGGGTATAAAGTCACACTGTCATACTTTTAAGAGCTTTATAAACATTCTAAGTATACAGCAGCCGGGATAACAGCACTATAAAAACAAGGTATAAAAATACAAGTCACCAAACCAGTTTAAAAAACGATGGGCATGTCCACCTGAAAAGAACATGTGCTGAGTAATATGTGTGCTTTCATTGATGACCCCCCTAATGTAGTTGCCTGGCTGTCTATGGTTTCATTGACTCAAGACAAATACACTATCAGAGCTCCATCAGTATTGAAGCCACTAGATCAGCGCCACAGCCATAAAACTCGCATTACTGGAAAAGCAAACTCAGTAGTGGTGGCCCTCATATTTTTCTCAGTGCAGGTTCTCTATATAATATAATATAATATTTCAGGGGAATTAACTTAAAGGGTATCTATGGTCCAACAATAGTATTTCTGTATTACCATAAGTTCTATCCCGCTCCTAATAACCATATCCAGCTAGATGTTTGTAAATGGAATTTTATCGCAACTCTCTCAGAGCCTGCAGTCTGAATTACAACTCAACGTCTGGGCAATGCAACATTATCACTGCTTGTTGGAAGCAATGCATGATGGGATATGTAGTCTTGAGAAATTGATATTCCATCAGAACCAGCAGCAGGGAAAGAGATGCAAAGCACACTGGGGATCCAGGAAGTTGGTGAAAGTGATGAGCAGACGGAAGGCAGCACTCACTACATGAACGAGATTTTTTTAAAGTAAACTTTGATTGCGTTATCAAAAGCAACTCTATTAGGTATTCCCATTACAATGTGAGGTTATAAGAGAATAATATATGCTAGGACTTGACAACTCCTTTAAAGTATATGTAAACCCTTAAAATACACTTAACTTATTTGCCCCCCTTTGGTCTGTATAGAATTGAATGTGCTTTGTTACATCTGTTCAATAATTGGCATTAAAAATGCCGATTTCATACTGCCAAAAATCCAGTAAGCTCCTAACTTCTTGTGCCGTCACTGCACTTATCAGCCTCATCAGTTCTCAGCCCTACCTAATTCACTTGTATGGACTACAGAACACCTCCCCTTATATTTTGGAAATGCCAGGGGAAAGTGTTCCGTAGTAATACACTTCTTGTCCAAGGGTGACAGTGCTCCATAGACGCAGTGCAGTTGTCACCCTAGGACAGATCACCAGATGAAAATAAAGCAAATTGGATCATGTTTTTCGTTTTTGGGTTTCGAAGAACTGTAGGTCTGTAGGACATTTATAAATGTACACACTGCTCCCTCACACTTGACAGCTGAAATCCCAGTCTGCAAAGCTGAAGTCATTGGCTTCTGCTTGAATTAGCACTACCAACGTCTGCAACCAATAGCATTAGAGCTTCTTACCACCATTGTTGTGGATCACCCCACCACCCACCCCCAAACATGAACATTACTTCCATGATCTATAGCAAGCATTTTATACAGCCTGTGATGCCCCAGGCAGTGAATACGGGGGGGGGGGGGGTTTACCAAGCAAACCAGCTTTTAGGATACAGAGGCTGGAGGTGTGGGCAGTGGCCGAACTACCATTACAGCAGCCCGAGCAGCCACTATGGGGCCTGGGGCAGAGGGGGGCCCAGTCAGGAGCAGGAAGGAAAGATGAGGTGCAGGTGTCTTTAAAGCAGACCTTTACCCCCTATGACTGAAAATCACATCAGCAGGCAGCACTACATGCGCATATGAAACCATCTTACATTCATTACCTAAACAAACATTTTTTTATTTTACTTACAATTTATTTCATCCACTTCCTGGTCCACTTTGGCACACATTATGTGATGTGCCCAAGCATTGCATCCTGGGAAGGTTACATCAGCAGAGCATTGCTGGGAAATCTCATCTGTACTCTCATGAGATCTCAGGGAAAGGCACTTTCCTCCCCTGAGATGATGTACATGGTCACATGTCCTAGTCACATGTGCCAGAGTTCCAGGAAGTAAATGGAGAGCTAGTAACCTGCCCTTAGTTAAAATGGCCACTGCCAGAAGACTGGGGAAGAAAAGAGTTATGCAAAGTATGCAAAGAGTAAAAAGCCGACACTTATCTAGAAGTGTGTGCTTTTAGATTGTCATTATTAAACATTTCTAAAGGGGGGTTTGTTGTTATTTTGAGGATATGGGTTTTGGGGTGAAGTAGACTGAGGCAGAGTGGGATCATGTTCTGCAGGTATACCACATGTGACCTGTAGGCTGGGGGACAGAGAGAACTTGGATCAGTCTGGCATGGAGGTTATCATTTCTATACTGCCACACCAATAAAAGCTGGGAAAGGGGGAGTTATAATTTGTATTGTATGGGCAGACCCATATCAGATTTTGCTGTGGGGCCCTATGATTTCTAGTCATGCCCCTGGGTGTGGGGGAATTACTTTTTTTCATTTTACACAGTGACTTAACTTAAAGCTGAATCCAGCCTTCCCTTCAGCCTTGCACAGTTGTACCGGATCCTCTCCTTTACTGAGATTGATTACTCTGAATTAACTGCACTCTGTGAGCTTCTCCAAGTGTGCATTAAAAGTTGCAGTAAGTCAGATAGAGACCACCTTATTTCCTGGCTGGAGGACATCCAGCATCATCTAGCTCTTTCCTCTCTGGCCTGACTGTCCCTGGCCCGCCCCTTCTATTCATTGGACTCCTGTTCTTTTATCATGGAGGCGCAGCATCACATGTAGGTGTTATGTAGGGTAGTCTCCATGTAAATGTAGCCCACTCCTCCAGACTGATATCTACCCATTCAGCCTACGGACGGAAGGGAAAAGTCTTTCAATTGCCCCATCAATGCTAAACAGCGTGGATGAAGGTATCTTCCCTGCCAGCTATTGGATTCTGACAGCAGGCACCCATGGCTGTCATAATACTGGCTGCAGTCACTATTCGGCTGACAATTTTACATCCAGATCCTACAACAACGGTCGATTGAAAAATGAACTTCTGTCAAGTCAGGTGGTGACGCCAGGGCCACGCACAGCTCAAATTGTGGCAGATTTAGCAAGGAATGGATGAAATTCAATCCGTGTTTGGCCAGCATAGGTCTCTCCAGACATACGGAAGATTTGATGTTCTCTGTGAAGCTTTGCACATAGCATATCAGTATTATATAAATTAGTACAAAACACAGCTATGGATTATTTGAAGTGCCAAAGCTTTGTTCTTCAGTTTTGGAAAAAGTAGAAAATGGCTAAAACAGATTATTTCACTGTGTTCTACTGGGGGGGATTTCCCTTCCTGTCCCAGAGACTCAACAGGAAGTGAGAGGAAATCTCCCCAAAGTGAGTGGAATTCACATTGGTCACTGAAACAGGTGTCCCCATTGGGAAGTTCGCCCTTCACTTCCTGCTCTGATGACAACTCGAAAACCTTGAATTTCCCCTCATTATCTGTCTTGGTGATGGTGGTCACCAGGTCAAATAGAGGGCTGAATCTCCCCAGTGTGGGCACAGACATCAATAAAACCTAACAGAGGGTCTAACTCCTCCACTATTCAAAACAAAGGAAAAATGGTTTGCATTTTCAAATACTTTAAAGTGACACTGAGCTCAGGAGTGAAATCTGAAAAATACATTTAAGTACCT